TTTACAAAATATTAAAATTATTTTGTTGATTTAATTTTTTATAAAAGCAATTTGTTTTTTTAAGGTTTGGAATTTGTTTAGGTTTTGTTAGCAAGTATAGGTCATTCTAATACCCTAGCTATCTAGGAAAAAAGTAACAGATACATGAGTTTTCAGAATTTGGCCAATTATATAACAAGATCAAATATATAAAAAATTTCTTACTAAATTTTAATATATATTATAATTTTAAGTTTATTCTAACTCTAATGATAATATTTATTATTTTAATTTATACACTTATTCGATTGCTTTAATTTTTGCTAATTGGCCAAAGTCACATAACTGTCACTTTTTTTCTGAATGACTAGGGTACTAGAAGCTTTACTTATTTGTACCAGTAATACAAACTTCTAAAAAGAAAATAACTAATTAGTGAATTCAAATTTTGATTGTTCCAGAAGAAAAAGTGAAAAAAAAACTCAAAAACTAGTGTTTAAATCAGTCTTGATGTACTAATTAAAAATGTCAGAAATGAAATTTTACATATAATGAATGATAGTTTATTGCTATAGCCTTTAATGTTAATGTTCCAACTCTAAATTCATGTTTTATGTATTTTGTTTTCAAATTTTCTTTTTTGGATTGTATTACTGGTACAAATAAGTAAATCTGAGTACTAGGGTCACCTAGATTACCTCCAATAGGTCACTCAAAAAGTCAAAAATTTCTTTTATTTTCAAAAAAACCATCTATATATAAACTTGAACATCTTAATGTGCAGTAATTTCATAGTTACTATTAAGTTTAATAGTAACTAGGTAGTTACTATACAGTTACTACATAGTTACTGTGCATTAACAAATTCAAGTTTTCTGTAAAGACATTTATTAAACAAATACCTTAAAATCTTTATTAATTGAATATGTTAATATTATAATTATAAAATTATCTGTCAAACAAGAATGATATATAAAATATATTTACTAATCATGCCAAAATTAATAACTTAACCGAATTGTCAAAAAATCATTTAGCAAATTTTATTAGTCCTAGGATTTATGATAATAACTGTAATAAAAAAAATAATAATAATTGATTATAAATTTATAAGGCCATAATATATGTAAAATCAGCAAAATTTTTGCAATCAATTAGTTGTCAACTAAACTAATTAATTGATTTTTCGATTTATATTACTAGTTAATCAAAAAGAAAAACAAATTCTTTAAATTATTTGTATAAAATTTAAAAAATTGTGATTGCTAATTTTATATTAAAAGAATACTCAAGTCTGAATCAAAATTTAACTAGCGATTACATACCTGACTTTGGTGACAACTAGAAATATCAATGGTTGATTATTATCTTATATGTATACAAGTTATTACACATATATAAGATGTGAAAAATGTCATATAAAAAATAGACAACACATAATAATATGTGATGAACAGAGTTACACAGACCAATTAAATGCTAAGAATTGTACAGACATATTAACTTGCCTATAAACCATATACTAAGTACTTTGTTTCTGGTATATAAATTATATATATTTATTTATTAAATATCATTTAGCTAATTTAGTTATATTTGATTATATGGATTATATCAAAATTATTGTTATATGCAAATTTATTTTTGTATGGTGCATGACACTTAAAGACTACACAAATTTTAAAAACTAACAACTTTTGATATAAAGATAATACTAAAAAAAAAAGTCACTATTTTGCAACTAAATCAATATACTACAACTTAGTGGCTTTATTTTTTTAATGTTGATTATTTATTTTTAACTTAATTCAATTTAAAAAATCACAAATTTTATATCTTAGTATATAAAATTGGTCAAAATAGGACAAATACATCAACCAATCAAATTAAATATTTTGAGTATAACATTTTGATTAGTTAATGAAAGCATGTAACAAATGATGGCTATTATAAAGATTAAAAAAAAAGTTTTTTGCTTTTACACAAAAATTTTAAAAGTTTGATAACCTATATACGAATATAATTAGTGTATAGCTCTTTAGTAACTAACTCATATACAAACCAATTTGTGTATGGCTCCTGAGCCTATGTAGCTTATGTGGCCCTAGAAGAGCCTGTGTAGCTTGCTTGGCCCTAGAAGAACCTATGTAGTTTGTGTGGCTTTAGCATCCCAATATGAAGCATAATCTACTTGAATACACATATATACGAATATACCTCTTATGTAATAAGAATCTGCATAAGAAATACAATTTTAGGTGTTTTAATAAAATATAATGAAGAAAAAATTAAATAACATATTCAAAAAATATAATAAATGAAGAAAAGAGCTAGCAGAAAAAAGGCAGCAAAAGGAAGGAAAAGTTGAAGAAAATGTTAAAGAGAATGTTTGGATGAATGTTGAAGAGGATTTTGAGGTGAATATTGAGAGGGATGTTGAGGTGAATGTTGAGGAGGATGTTGAGACAAATGTTGAGAAGGATGCTAAGATAAATATTGAGGTAAATGTTGTTATAAATGCTAAGGAGGATGTAGAGGTGAATGTTGTTATAAATGCTGAGAAGGCTGTTGAGGTGGATATTAAGAAGAAAGCTGAGGAAGAGATTGTGCAAGATTTAGAAAAGGATAGTGAGCTTAATATAGAGGAGGATAATAAGGATAGAAACAATGAAGATGAAAAGACACATGAATACTTACTTACTGTAACTCCTATATACAAAATAAAGGAAAAAAGACATAAATGGTAAAAGAGTTACCAAAAACAACTTATTATCATAAGTTTGGTGCCTTTAGCATTTTTACCAATACGGCTAAAGGAACTTATAAGGTTACAAGTTTTTTTAAAGCTGCAAAGTTAGTGAATTTTTCTTATTTGTTATTAATTTGCCAAAATATTTTAGGCTTTACCACAATTATTAACACTAATTAAAAAAATTTTTAAGTGATTTTAGTGCATCCTCAATAAATGAAGTATTACCTATAACAGCATATGAAGGAATTAACCAACTTTATGAATATTTGGTAAAAAATGGATGTTTAATTACAGTCTCTAAATATAATAAATGTCAGGTGGTTTATGAGTATCTTGTATTGCTGAAGAGCAGGTATAGAAAAGAAGAAGCAAGTAAAAAGTCTGCATATAAAACCTACATCAAACCAAAACTATATACATCCAGAAGAATTTAGTCTTTAGCCAAGTATTATTTGTATTATGGTTCATTTCCACTTTCACAATATGGTAAACATCAAAAACACAAGTGACTTGTTGATAATGAAGACATTGCAATGCAATATAAACAGTAAATACAACAAAATTCCAAAGTAAATAGTGTTGATTCATCTGAGTTTCAAGAATATATCAATAACATTATTCTTCCAGAGCATATAGAAGAGACAAAAAAAACAATCAGCTTGCAGACAGCTGAACAGTAGTTAAACATTTTGGGGTTCCAATTTAAAAGATACTGGCAAGATATATATAAGCTGTATTATAAAAATTACATTTTTACATTATATTTATTATACAAATTATGGTAATTTTGTAATTCTAGGTATGTACTTTAATGAACATGAGTGGGATGATGTAGTAGTTTATCGAAAAAAATTTTAGAAGAAATGACAATTTTAGAACAGCGAATAGTGAGGTATGATAGAAATGATACACACATGTTTTAGGATAATTTTAATCAATGTTGATTGCTAAAATATTTTGATCTACAAATAAAACAATAAAGCATTTTTTTGCTATATGTAAAAATTGGTTTAAATAATTTGTAATTATTAAATAATTGTTAATAGATTAAAAAGCAAAACTATATATTTGCAATAATTTAATCTATTTCAATATGAGTGCTATCAAGGAAAAACTTGTTATTAGGCTTTTATTTATATTTTGTGTCTAGTTTTTTTTTTTGAATGCCATCTAGAAAAATTTTGTTATGGGGTTTTCAATTACATTATGTAAGAAGTTATTACAGCACTCAAAGAACAAACTGGGCACAAAATATAATTGAAAGCCTAATGATAAGTTTTATCTCATATATAAAGCATTTACAATATCTCTTAAACTGTCAATTTAACTACATATCTACTATGATTTAGACTACAAATCAATATAATTTGATAGCTTAATCACAGATCAATCATGAAATTTCCAGGCAAATTTGTCTGAAAAACAGTTTAGAAGGTAATAATAGAATGATAAAATGTTAATATTGATTTTAATGATCTTTTTAAAAAAATTTTAATTAAATTTTTTGTTATTTCCAGATATGAAGGAGACAGCATAGAAAAAATTCTTTCAGTACTTAAACAAAATGAATGAGAATTAATCTTCATAACACATAATGAAAGTGTTTTTTATTCAAATGACGGAAAACGAGAGATTTGGATACCAGATGAGAATATGTCATTGCAAAAAAAAGGAAATAGAAGATCAATTATGGTGAGTAAGCTTCTTTTAGAAGAATGTAGTCAGTTGAAATTAAGTGAAGAAGAGGCAAGAATGCACCCAAACATTTCTATAGAAGCATGTTACTATCTAATGCCTGGAAAAACCAAAAAGGTTTTTGGACAGTTGATAATTTGCTAGAACAAATTAGGAATAAAGTGATCCCTATTTTTGAAGCAAAGTTTTCTAATGCAATAGCTGTCTTTGCCTTCGACAATAGTACAAACCATGGAGCATATGCAGAGGATGCTCTTATTGCAGCAAGAATAAATCTAAAACCTGAAGGAAACCAACCAAAAATGTGATTGACAACTTTTGTAGATGCTGATGAATGACAAAACACCCAACATATGGTATTTGATGAAGACTATAGATTTGAAGAAGATAAAGATTATGATGAAAATATGTGAGGAGAGTTAAAAGATATTAAATTAATATTAAAAAAGAGAGGACTTTAAAAGAATGGGTTGCTTTTAGAATGTAAAACATGTAAGGATAAAAAATTAGCAAAAGATAATTTACAAATAGATTGTTGTGCAAGAAAAATAATGACATCTCAACCTGATTTTATTGTACAAAAGTCAGCAATTATAGAACTAATAGAAGATGCAGGTAATTTATATGTTTTTTATCCAAAATTTTACTGTGAACTCAACTTTATCGAAATGTATTAGGGGGCTGCTAAAAGATATGCTAGAAATAATTGTGATTATACTTGGGCTAGTTTGCAACAAACTGTTTCTCATGCATTAGATTTAGTTAATATTATTACAATAAGGAAGTTTGCTCAAAAATCATAATGATATATGGAATTGTATCATAAGGGATTGACAGAAAAATTAGTTGAGTATGCCTGTAAGAAATTTAAATCACATAGGCGAATACCAAAGAATGAGCTAGCTTTATTCATTCAAGAAAATAATGACAAAGCATACAATAATAATAAAAGGTTATAATAGAATATTTAGTAGAAAGAAATAATATAATAATCAACTGTTCAATAATTAATCATAATTTTTGTTATTTATAATTAATTAGGGATTGTACAGCTTTATCTGATTTGTCCAACTCCACCTATTCTATTCTCTAATCAGTTTACAGTCTAATTTGATCAGTCTTGATGAATGAACTTTAAATTTTTTGGGAGCAGTTTTTTTAAATTTAAATTTTTTTTTTTTTTTTAAATTTATAATTTTTTTTAAATTTAAATTTAAAATCAGAAAGGTGAAAATAAATAATATTTAGTGCAATTGTAAAGTTCTTAACTTTTTCATATCATTATGTTGAAAGTTATTATTTAAATTTATTACTAAATTTTGTATATAATGCTACATAAAAGCTATTTTAGGTTTGGCCCCATATTTCCTGCAACCTGGTTTGATGCTATTCGAAAGATCAAAGAAATTAAGCCTATAAACTATTTAGCATGATTGTATTCAAAACCTTGTATGGTTTTAAAAATAATTCTCAAGATTTATAAAAAGTTAGTTATTTATTATATAGTTTATTATAAAGTATGTTAGGGTGACCACCAAAAGTTCTGATCAGGAGCCACTGCATAATTTCTTTAAAAATTGTTAAATTATTTAACTTCTGTATATAGCTAAATTGAAATATGTAATAAAGCAATATACTACCTGTTATTAAGATATATATAGCTGTGGCATTTTATTAACTGATTTAGACTTTTGGTGGTCACCCTGGTATACTCTTTATATTAGACACATGTTAAACTGATTATATATATTTATTTATATAGTTTAACAATATATGAAATATACACATGTAGGTAGTAAGCTTAGGCTATATGATTTGACACAGAATACAAAAATAAATAAATACTTGATGGTATTTACAGTATTATGTCTTATATTGCACTAAAAAGTTTTATCAATTCAACAATTTACAAAAGTTGAAATATTTATGTCTTCGAATCATATTAACAATATGTAAGATTAAGTGGAAATTAAAGTTTATAAATAAAACTGCTTTCTTGTTATTTTTGCTAATGTTCCAAGGTAGATTTAGATTATTATTTTTTGTATTAAGCTGGCAGATATTATACATATGCATTAGCTTATTCTGGTATTATTTTACTATAACAAATGATTGGTCAGATCATGTTATCAGTAGAAATATTCGAAAATACTACATAAATTGACTTTTTGGTATATTTTAGTTTTAGATCTCAAAATAAGACAAATGTAGTCTTTAAGTGTCATGTACTATATTATGATAATTATTTTACAGATTATTACAATGATAAATAACAAAATATAGTATCAGTCCAATAGTTAGTTTGGGGTATGGGTCCCATAGCTTAGCGGTTAAGCTCCCATATCCTCCACAGTTAAGGTCAACGGTTCAAGTCTGGCTGAAGGCAAAATTGAAAGATTTTAGCTTTTGTAATCTAATAAGAAGCCTGTAATTGAATGCGAAGCCCTGTAGTTAAGTCCAAGTGCAGTACAATGATAGAAATAAGAATTCCTGGAAAGAGACCCAATTATGAAGTGCAGGCACTATGTGTAACAAGTGGTTGTTACAGAAGGTTACAGTTATGGAAAGATTGTGCATGTAAGTCCTTTAGGCTAGGGCAACACCAACATCCTTATACCTCCCAATATAGGCAGTACCAACATCTCTGCACC